AGTATTATATATATATATATATATATATACTACATTTTATTTATTTACAGCAAGCATGTGTATAAAATGTGGCAAAAATAAGAAAAAGTTAATAAATAAAAAGAAATGTATCAATTAAATAAGAGAAATGTATTTCCATTTCGTCTTGCAGTTTCATAATTTTGATTATTTATTAATTTATTTTATGTATCTGTAATTGCAAAAATGTCATTATATAATAGTAGATGTTATTTATTTTATTTTTTACCAGCAAACATCTGAATAATTATACTGTGCAACAGGAAAGAGGAAAGAGATAGATAGATAGCGTGGGGAGATAGATAGATAGCGTGGGGAGGGAGAGAGAGAGAGAGAGAGAGAGAGAGTGAGAGAGTGTGTGTGGGGGTGAGCGTAAGTGCACAGCTATGCGACCAGCTCAAACTAGTTCGGAGAAACACAAAGAGCAGCAGAGATCATAGAGAGAGCTGAACACAGACATACGCTCACAGCACAGCATCATATTCACAGCAATAAGGCAAGTACATCATCACCATCATAACCCAACAGCTCCTATTATTAAACTGCAGTCGATGTGTTTCACGACGCTGCGCGTTTGAATTATAGCCTACTAGTGGGTGATAAATAATGCAAATATCTGCGATTAACCGGATTTATTTTGATATGCTTATATTATAATTTTTATCTGCGTTTTAGTGCGATAATAGGATGTGTGCATATATATAATGTATTGGGTGTGTTTATGATGTGTTACAGTAGTATGACATGATATAGCCTATGTAAGAAAGGCGTATGGACGCACCGTGTCATAAAAACAAACGCGTTGAACGTCAATAAAGAGTTTAATTTAAAGCACGTTTTTACGATTTTTAGACTATAAAATGGATAAATTACGTTTAATATCAGAATAATCCATGAGTTTAGAAAAATAGCGTCGATATTAGATTTAACTGGACGGCGACACTATAGCTATCGCTAATTAAATTGAATATAATTGTTTATTATAGTTGATTTAATGGCGGATGTCGCTTTAAACAGTTACATTCATGCTGTAATAGAGTCGTGGAGTTTGTGTTTTCGTGCGCAAGGGCGCTTTAACGCTGTCAGGGATAATGATGCTCTGTGAAGTGCCAAAGAGGACCAGCTGCCAGCAACTGCTGACCCACTTCTCCAAATCAGAACCATCAGGCCTTGCGATTTCATTCCGATGGAACACAAAGCTCCAGATGCGAGAGAGCCTGTGGTTGGGGGTGTGGAGTGGTCGACGGTGAACTTTGTGCTCCTTGAGGAAGTTTTCAAAATGTCCAGTTCTGCATTTATCAAAGGCAGCATCCCACGTCCCCTCTTGCATCAACAGAGTGGGTTTTGTCCTCCATTGCAAATAGGCTTACATTCAAAGGAGTCGAGCGGAGGCCAACCCCTCCTCCTCAAGACACAGCATGGGATCTGTGTTCGGGCCCTTTCAGAGAGGGAAGCAAACCGGGCGAGATCCTGCTTTGTTCGGAGCCAGTGAATCAGGCTCCTCTATGGCCCAGCTGAAGGTCTTTGAGGACTTGGCCTCTCTCCCCGCAGAGGCTGAGGGGGGGAGGGGAGGGGAGGGGAGGCGGGGGACCCCTGCCGACCGCTGTTTCTCCTCGCACAAAAAGTCAGACCCCGAGGAGCCCTTCACATTTATGAGTGACTGAAGAATGGAGCCGTGCCGCGGGCTGCGCCTTGAAAGAAGCCTGTTTTAATGGAGGCAGGAAAGAATGAAAAGGAGAAGTGCTGTGTGCTTTTTTTCTTGCGAGAAAAAGGAAAATATAGAGAGGCTCTTTTATGGAGTCTCACACACAGCGAGCTGCTAGGATGGCGGAGGATATTATGTACACGGTGTCTTTAATTTAGACGGTACAAACAAAACATTCATATCTGATGTGTAATTATCTGACTTTATCTGTTTTGGTTTTTCTGAGAGGACCTTTGATGGTTAGTTACCGGTTTAGCAGAATTAATCGGTTTGCAGTGAAACATTAATTAAACAAATTAAACCAACCTAGAAAACAACAAAAGGACAAAATAGAATTAATATATCAAACTTGAATGTTTTTGAGCAGCATAAATACAACCGAATACAACATAATATATATTTATGTTGGTGTATGCATGTATATATTTGTATATGTAAAATATTAAATACATATAGCATATAATTTAGTGCAAGAACTCACATAAACAGATATGATTATGGACACCTGGTTGGATGCAGTCCTCTACGTTTTTGATAATTGATTTAAGGCAGAGATCAAATGAAATATAACTATTAGATTAAAACTTAAAAATGTAAAAGATAATTAGAAATGTTGCCCTGGCAGGTAATTGAAATAATTTTAAATCGGAGAACTAAAATAACTAGAATTGAAATAAAATAAAGCTAAATAGAAACATACATATAAAAATAGTAAATAAATATTAAATTAAATATAAAAAAATAATAAAAATGACAAAAGCACATTACAAGCACAAGCTAATTCAAAATATTAACAAATAATATATAATAATAACATTAAAATAATGTAGTTTCAAGTCTGCTTCACATTGTGCATCCACATAATTTAACTGAAATTAATGTCAGCTATATTTTTTCCCAGAATGCGGAGTTTATTCTCTATAGCGCTTGTGCTGCTGGTGGTGTTGATGATCACCGTGGAAGCCAGTATGAAGAAAAGAGGTTTTTATTTTTTCAATTAAAATGATGCAATGCACATTCCTTTGGTGTGGTACCATTAATAATAATTCTCTATTTTGTGACAGAAAAGGGCAAAGAGCCCAAAGCAGATGCTGAGTGCAGCGAATGGCAGTATGGGAAATGCGTGCCCAACAGCGGCGACTGCGGCACTGGCATTCGGGAGGCGAGCTGCAATGAACAGACAAAGAAAACCAAGTGCAAAGTCCCATGCAACTGGAAGAAAGACTTTGGCGGTAAGGAGTTTTACCATGTATGAATACGTCGACTGCATGTCTGGATGTGAATCAAAGAAAAATATATTTAGACAGGCCATTCATTCTAGTTTGTTCTTGGTTTTTAGCTGACTGCAAGTACAAGTTTGGTCGCTGGGCCGAATGTGACACTACTACAGGAACCAGAAGCAGGTCTGGGACATTGAAGAAGGCACTGTTCAACGCTGAATGCCAGAGCACCATTAAAGTGTCCAAACCTTGCACCCCAAAGACCCCCAAACCCAAGGGAGGAGAGAAGAAGAAAGGAAAAGGGAAGGAAAACTAACTTGAAGACCACCCCAACTGCCCACTCAGTGGTACATTCCTATGTGACACTCCCAAATCCTCCAAAAGGTGAATGCTGAGAGGAAAAAAACTGTAGCCCTACCTATTGTTTTTATGTCCACTTTCTTCGTTTTGTAATTAGTAAATGTATGCGTCTATGCTGTTGTAATTTGATCTCTGTAGCGAATTTTTTAATTGTAATTGACTCTGCATGTATAAAACAGGCTGCAGCAAATCTGTTGTCTAACAAGTTGTCTTTACTAAAGAGAAAAACTGTCGAGACCCTAATTATGCCCCTAAATGAAAGCATTTGTAAATTACAACAAAACGAATGAAGACTATTTCTGTACGTTTATAACATGTAAGCTGAATGCTTAAACGAACATCGCTCCTGGAAGTAACGGCCTATATAAAGTATCTGTTTATAAATGTTTATGTTTTTAGAGTTGATGGATGTACAATCAAATTTACAACACTAACTGATTACTTCTACAGGTTGTGAATAAATGAAAGTGTATTTTCAATAATACTTTCTGGTGCTTTTTTTAAAAACAAAGTTCACACATTTATTGTTCAAGACAAACTTAGGAATTACTTTATGATGTCAAATAGATTGTGCTAAATTCGGAACATGCAATTTTAATGATGTGATAACATTAATTTTCACTCGTAAAACTATAGAACTTGACAATTTTGATAAGAATGCAAGTATGATTTACACAATTTTGTTCGTTTTTTTTTACCAATTTATTGTGCAAACAATAATAGTCTTACAAACTGTAACTTAAAAACAACAACAAAACGTTCCGATGTGCCACAATTCGTAGAACAAATGCAATAATAGTGCCCTGATGAATATTAAATTACGAACGTTTATTTTTACTTTTCACTTTGGTTAAACACCATCACAAAAAATATGAATCGAGGTGTTTTGTAAGTTGATTTACATATATGCATTTGCGAACTTAATGACTTTCCGATACATTTAATGCATACAACATTAGCAACAAGATAAATACTTCACTTTATTTACACTTTTGGCTCTAGTAAACCAGCATCATGCTCACAAAATAAGAATCAGTGTCTTCTCTAAACTATCGCATTGATTTACACAAACTGTTGGCGTAAGAATACATTCGCAAACAACAATATCAGCAACATCATAAACACCAATAACGTCAACCAACTTCACTTTTTTTCCACTTTTGGCTCTAGTAAAACAGCTTCACAGTCACGAAACGTTTGAGCGAATCAGGTTCCTCGTTGGTTCGCTAGGAGTCCTTGATAAGAGAATGAAGTCCGACTCATTTTGATGTCAGATTTCTGAACTTGCACGTCAACAGTCGTTTAAAGGTTCTTTTGAAAGTGGCGTTACAGAGCGCGTAGCACACTGGATTTACCGTGCTGTTGACGTAGCACATAAAGTAACCCACCATCCACAGAATTTCAGGGACACACCAGCGGCAGAAGGTACCAATCAGAACCATAACACTATAAGGCGTCCAAGTTACAATGAAGGCCAAAAGAACGGCAAGGACGGTCTTTGTCACCTTCCTTTCTCTAAGAGCCTTCCGTCTGGCATTCTTGGAGAGAACATTGGATGCTTGACTTTGAACCTGAATGGTAGTATGGTTTTGAAGACAGTGAGGTTGCATTGTCCTGCTAGTTTCTGCACACCCTGTCAAGGTCTTCGGTCTCGAGGTTTCTGCATCCAGCCCTTGGTCTTCCGCAGAGGCATCAGGACTTGAATCCAAGAAGTAGTCCGTTTTGCTGAACTCTACAGAAGGGAGGCGTTTCATTCTAACGAGCATTGAATCTTGTTTAAATGAGCATGTTTCATTGGGTTTAATGTCAATCACTAGGTCAGGGTTTGCGGTTGACGTTCCTCCACTTGCCTTAGACGGTTCAAGCAGGTTTGCGAATTCAGGCTTCAGCTTATGAACCCGTCTCTGACTGGCCAGGGATATCCGTGTGTACAGTATCATCATTATCACAACGGGAATGTAGAACGCTGGGATGGTGGTTGCCAGGGTTACGGCAGGGTTGTCGAGGAGCAGGATATAACATTGTCCCTCCGGGACCTTGCTCCTGTCCCTCCCAGCCTGCCAAAGCAGGATGGCTGGAGCCCAGAGAAGCAGAGACTGTAACCAAGCCGCAGCAATCATCACCCCAGCCCACCTTGCGGTACGTTTGGTTGGGTAACTCAGAGGCCGGGTCACACAGAAGTACCGGTCAAAGCAGATCAGCAGGAGGTTCATCACAGAGGCGTTACTCACCACGTAATCCACAACCAACCACAAATCGCACATCTGCGGTCCCAAAGGCCAATACCCCTTTACGGCGTACACAATGTAGAGATTCATGGAGAAAACACCGACGATAAGGTCCGAACAAGCAAGACTAAAAAGGAAGTAGTTGTTGATGGTTCGGAGATTGCGGTTGACTTTGATTGAAAGCAGAACCAGGACGTTGCCCAGGACTGTTAGCAGGCTGATGCAGCTAGTGATAAGTATGATGACGACCACCCCTACAGTCCCGAACGAACGACGTGGTCTTCCCAACACCAAGTATGATTCTTCGGGCAACGGACTCTGCATGCTGCTGTTGAGCATGATGGAGGAACTTGTGGAGGAGCCTGCGACAAGAAAACGGAAATTGATCATAAATCAAGTTGTAAAGAAGTGTTTAACTTGACATATGAGCAAACAACTTGAAATTGAACTCTACAGACAGTATATACACTACACTTCTAATGCTAAAATACACAACTCTAACTGGTTGTACATAGAAATGAAGCTATAAATTAGACAAAACAAATTATGACCCTAACATGATCCAATCAGCAAACTTACTGTTGAAAACGAACGATTCAAAGTCCCTCGAAAAAACGACAGATCCAGTCTCCATGATCTGCTGCTCAATCTGAACGAGAGAACTACTGGGAGGACTTTTAATTCCTCAAACAGTAACACCCATCCTCACCTTCCGAATACATAACCAGGAACAAGTCATCCATCCTCTTAGGGCTGTATCAATACACTAAATTTACTGGAAGATGATCAAAGTAGTGTGGAACGATCATATTACTGCTGAATTCCTCCTAGATTCGTGCTGCCTTTTTAAAGCATGTATGTTTAATGCAGTTCCTGTCATCTAAAGAGGAAGGCAGCAGTTACACAACAGATGGAATCTAATTACCTGACCTGTAATGAAGCTCCACAGCTGTTTCACATCTTTTTAATTTTATTATGATTCTATATTAACATTTTAAATATCACACATACTACAACAAATCACAGATGTTTACATAGATAAAAGTTGTAATGAGGATGCAGGGACCTGAGTAAGTTTCATGAAAACACTGCAATATATAAGATAATGAGAAGAAACTTCATTATACATGAAGACAATTAAACTTTGACAAATAAGCACATTTTCCTAAATTTTTTATGACCACATTTTGTTACAGATGTTTTATTTATTTATTTTAAATTGCGACCATTTTCAGGGAGAATGTGGGAAAAATGTGATTAACTGTCATGAAAATTATGACATCAAAGAAAATTTTTTTTTTTAAAATATGCTAAATAATAATAAAAATATAATTTGGGGAAAATTAGGTAGGTATTAGTCCAGGTATTTTTGTTTTGTTAATGTCCAAGTTTTTTTGTTGTTGTTGTAATTCCCATTATTCTGTCATGTTTGTCATCGCTGTAGTACAGTATTTTACTGCATATTTTTTAAAAGGAATAAAATACTTAAATTAATACAAATAAAAAACAACTGAATTAATTTCCATATTCCCATTTTATTAAAACTCTCATAATTGTCATTACCACAGGATCTTTGGTGTCCCACAAAATTCTTTTACAACACCTAATCCTCATTTTCACTAAATAAAGAACCAACTACACATTTATGGTAAGTCATAACAACACATCCCTCTTGTTTGGTCAGGAGAGAAAGTTGAATTCTGGTCTTTTCCACCATCATGACTTACCGCTACGGTACCGATCCAGCAGTGAGAGCATATACATAACCACACATCCAACAAGAACACAATTACAGCTTTAAAATGTCACACTTTCGGTCACCGTCAGCTATTCTCGTCTGAACAGATGAATTGTCAGGAGGCCTAAAAATCTAAAACAAACCCTGCATGAAATGACTTCATAAAAATAAGGTGTGCATATGGCCAGAAATGAGTAAAATCAGGAAAAGATGCGTCATTGATGGAGAATAACGTAAAAAGGTCCTTCGCTCTTATCATAGAAGCTTTTTTTTTAAAATCAGGATTGCATTTGTCATTCACACAAAGGGTAAAATAAATAATCGAAATGACAGCCAACACAACCAGACTTCAGATTTACCAATATTTCTACCAATAACTAAAACACTCAACGGTCAAAAGGCTTATGAAGAAGCTATTCTGGTTTTGTCGCACCTCAGAACGGCTTTTGTGGTTCAGTAAGGAGAAGATTCCCCAAGGCACTGAACTCATGGAAAAACGTCAAAGGGTATGTGGTTTCTGAGAGGTTCCTCAGCTGCCATTGTTTGCGATGAGACCACAATCCATCAGAATCTTACATCCAGAAACGTTCAAAACGCAAACCATTCCTATTGGGGACTGTTTTTTTTTTTCTTTTTTCTTTTTTACAAAAAGCTACTAATTCAAGCCAAACAGCTAGAATAACAAAATCTTTTACACAAATAAAAGCAGAGGGAGATAACTATATAAATGCTTGTTAACGAAAGGCCTGTGCATATGCAAATGCACTGACAACTCAAATCGCTAGAGTTGACCAATCGTACACGAGAATCTAATCAAGCACAATAGAGCACACAAGGCAAGTATGTCATAAAAAAAACCAAACCCCACCCTGAAATATGGATTTAAGTTTTTTTTCCCCACGATTTATCATCTCTACATTTACAATGCTACATTTATTTATAATAAAACACTCTAGGTTTAGTGGCAGACACTCACAGACATACACATCCACACATTCAGATAGTGCCCGTCGTCAGTGACTCTCAGCAGTGTGCGCGCATATAGGGGCGTCTCTCTCCTAAGTGTCCAGTGCCCAAGAAATACTCTATTATGGGATATTCAAGTGTGATTATCAGTCATAATCCAGATCTATGATAGAGATATGTCAGGTTTATTGTCTGTAACGCTGTTCTCGGGGCAGTTCGGAAGGACAAAAGGGTGCTTAAGTGCAATCACTTGCCATTTGTCGCTTGCGCATCATAAGAGGCTTGTTGTGATTGGTAGAATGGAACAGTCGGCCAATCAGATGATTTGAGGTGAATTAATGGCGAATTGGCTAAATTGCGCAAAAAGTGTTGCATTTGAAGCATGAAAATGATCTGGCACAATAATTTTAATGGTCTTGCATGTCATTTCTGAGTATTAAGGTATTTCTGGGAAATCGCATCAGTAGGATTAGTAAATGCATCGTGTTAAATTGCAACAATAAACACGAATTGACTCATACACTCAAGTTAAAGGTCACAAATGTATAAAAGCGTACCAAAATGTCACTTGATGCGCATGTGCGTTCTACAGCCTACATGCTAATTTGCTTAAGCCCCGCCTTCTGCATTTAGCCCGCCGCCTCGTATAAAAGCTCTGGAATTGGACACACATGCAGATATGAGAGATCTGAACCAGCTTGAGGGTTCCTGAACTGCTTTTTTTATCCGACAGACAATTACAGACGACATGCTTTCAGAAGTGTATTTTTCAAACGACAGATAAATAAATTCAAATTAAAAACCATCATAAAATTCGCCATCTGGAAGTTTAGTGGGACATTCCAGTCTGAGAACTTCAAGGCAGACGTTGTTCTAGATACTGATCAATCTACCGAATGACTTGACCACTGAAAGTCCCTTTATCGCACACAAAAAACAATCACGTCAAGCATAATCTCTGAATTTGAACGCAAAAACCGTTAGAGGATGTTGTGAGAGTTAGTGTTTAGCTGTGAAGAGTCTGTACTGTTTTACAGTTCCTCAAACCATAATGTCATGCAGACATAGGAATCGCAGCCACATCTGGCACTTCGATTGGCTGATCATTTTTCCTGGAGCTTGAAAGGGTGGTAAACTACAACCATGTAATTCCGTACTGCAGTAGGGGAAGGATTCAAGTATGTTGCCCTTTCTCGCATGGAATGATAAAATGTCTGAGACTCAACCTTGAAAGGAAGAAAAATTATAACTTAAGTGCAAAGCGCAAGTGCAATAATGATGCTTCCCCAAAGCGAGAATCTGTTTTTTTTAAAGAAAAGGTGAGGCTGACGTCTCCCGGTTAGGGAGATGCCATGAAAAACTTGGCACTCTTTCAATCCTAAATAAGGCCAGAGTGGGAGGAGTCAGATCTGAGGCGGGAAGTTCAGTGGCTCCGCCCTAAATGCTATGTTCTATGTGTAACAAAGGGTCCACCATGAAATGCTCCAGCACCATGCAGACCAGTTTTGAGATGTTCGTCTCTGTGAAAACCAGACTTAGGACTATCTGCCGTACAGGTCATCAGGGTAATCTCGGCTCCGGCTTTCACTGTAGCTGTTGCTATGGTCATTGTTATTGTTGTTGCTATGGTTGGACATATTCAAACCGCTCGCGGATGGGTGGTGCTGCACATCATCAACTTGACGATCGCCAAACAAGTCCATCTCAACAATAGGAGATGCCCTCGCAACCTCAGAACGAGTTGTATACGGTGATGGAAGTGGGACACTGCTCGACCCTGAAGGCCCAGGAGCTTCTATTGAGTCTACTAAGGGTTCAGTGTGAAAAAGAGTGGAAATACCGAGTCCAGCAGGCATCTCCGAGGTTGGATTTCCCACCCGAGTCGTCCTGACCGAGGTCTGAGAGCCACGGTGAATCCGATGACTGACCACGATGTTGTTTCCAAAGCCACCCATAGAGGCCATAGTAGTGCTGCGTTCCCGCTGGACCACGGCCGTCATTCCTCCTTCTGCAATTAGGCGGCGAATCCGAGACAGCGCGTCCTCTCCCAAGCCGGGCTCGGCTGCTGAGTCTATTAGGAAAAACCAGACAGAACAGTGAGATGCTCATTTCAGATAACAGCAAAACAAACAAAAGATTCAGATTGCGTTAAAAATTCCTTCCTGTAGCACAAACAGTAAAGCACAGCGATAGCAACGCCAATGTCATGGGTTCGATTTCCAGGGAGAGCAAGAACTGATAAAAAGTATACTTTGAATGCAATGTAAGTCGATTTGTATAAAATAGTCTGCCAAATGCATGCACGTATATGTAAAAAAAAAAAATAAATAAATAAAAATCAGAAAATGGAAATTTGTTTATTTTATGGAAATCTATTCAGAAATTTTGCTGAACGATCTCATTTCACTGGCTGCTATAGCGACTTGTTGAAACAAGTTTTGCTATATTGCTGCAGATATATGCACAAACATTAGCGGGCAGGATTGCTTTACATTATTTATATAATTTTTATTTTTGTTGCTTGCTGACAAACCCTAGAACAATGCAAAAGCAGAGTTAAGACAAGGAAGAACTTATTTAGTTATTGAGTTTTCAACTCAGAAGTTTTAAGTAATGGGAATCTATAATAATATTATTTTATAAATAATATTTTTTTGGGGTCGCATTCATCAAGTTTAAAAAAAAAAAGAAAAATAATCACTTGAGATGAAGCACCTTTTGTTTTGGATGTATTAAATTCACTAGATTATAAAAAAAAAAAACAGGTTATTTAAAACAAAAATAAATAATATTTTTTTAAACTAAAAATATTATTGCATTGAATTTCCAGCTAAATTAATTATGTTGTGATCATGAAATGAAATATACAGTGAAATAAGATTTTTTGTTAATGATCAAAAAAACAACAACGTCTTAGCAAGTTATCTATTAACTCCCCATGTGTGCACA